TTTGTTTAAAGTTGTTTTTAGTATTTCCATAGCCCATAGGCACTTAAAAGGAATACTTTTTTATGTTTCTTGTACCTACATAAAACCTTCAAAAGCTAACTTTTAGGATTTTTTCCCGTATATATACTCTGCTCTAATAGTTGTTCGACTTGTAACATAAAACAAAATATACATTATAATAGGTACCTACGAGATATTAATTTTGGTCTAAAATATTGTAAATATTATAATATAATAATATTAAAATGTAAAACTTAGATAAATAGTTATATAGATAGATCACAACATTTTCAAATAACTGTAGTTCATTTTACATGTGTAACAATAGTGATATTTCTCTTTGGAATCTAATATATGTAACAGCGATATGGTGGCAATGTAAGATGCGTTCATAGATGAAGAAGTGCATATGAAATTTGGAGAGATTTCGTCGTAAATTGAGTACCAAACTACTATCCTGGGAGTATATAATTTAGCCGTAGGTACCACCCATATTATTGTATAATATTGATGTAATAACCCTAAACAATATATATTATATATTTTTCCAGAAGTTACAATGCGCAGACTATAATATTTAATACAAGAAAAATAAATTAACACTGAAACTCCTTACGAAAGTGTCGAAAGTCGATACCAGCGATATCATAACACTTCGTACACGCATCTGTACTTAAGCCGCCTGTATGCACGCTTATTGTCGTTTATCAGTCACCCTGCATTAGTTATGACTCACCGGCGCTACAGGCCGCAGACAGACGATTATCAGGCTAATGGGTGCGTCTAATGGACAGGTATTTAGAGTGGTGCTGCCAACAAGTCAGGGCATGGTTTTTACGCCAAGCATTCTGTTCAGCGATAGGCAGACTGTTGCGGTAGCTCGTGAACTCTATGAATGATTTTCTGATCACGATTTTCACGGATCCACTACGTACGTGACACGCTGCTTATGTCACGTGTCATTGTGGCAATATTGAATGTAATGTATTATAGTACCTGTTATGAATATGTAGGTACGTTATTACTTATTATTGACCAACGAGATATATCGTTTCGTAGTTAGCGATCACTGATCGAGTTACGCGTATTTATGGAGTGACGGACAGATGAAAATATTTTTTTTTAAGTAAATCATTCCATACCTATGCAACGATAAAACGGAATCCACAGAAATACAAAATAATTGAATGCGCTTCAAAAATTCTAGACATCTAACATCCTTATAATAATAGTTATTGAATTGAGTTACAAAAGTATTAAAAAAAAATTATAATAGATATTTGATTTATTTTTTACGTTTTATACGAAGCAATTTTAAACTGCAGTAAGTCTGAAAATTAATGTAAATTCTATTCATATTACGTAGAATGAAATATTATGCCTACATTTACTTTTTTTAATTTCCGAGTGCAAAACTAAAAATAATTTACAAGTAATAATTATAAAACTATAGTTTAAAACTTAACTTACTTTAACCTGCGATGGTCATAAAGTACTTTATACTTCTAGCTGAATTATATATTTTTTTTTTATTAGAACAAACAAGAATTTATATACAGTTCGTAATAAGATATGTATATACAATAGTCAATAGGTAATAAGGGTGGGAGTATGACCATACTTCATAATTCTAGGTGGTTTTTTTTTAAAATTATTTGTGTTGTTTTATTTAATTAAATTTTTTTTTTAATGATGTGGAGGTCCCCGGGCCAATTTTGTTTGAGACAGCATGGTGTAAGTGTAAAAGGAAATATGTTTGAAATTTAAATGGTTCAATGTGTTTTTGTGAAATAGTTTATAATAGTGAATGAATTGTTGAGATTTTGAGGTTAGAGTGGAGGGAGATATTGCTGACGTTCAACGGGGACACCCCCGCCTTTATAAACATATTTCCAAGCGAAGTTTGCAGACGAACCACGGACATTCCAATAGGCCATGGAGGGCACACAAATATATATCAATAGATTTCAAATCAGATCGAGTTTAGGTTCATATCACGCAGCAGAAACAGTTTGGAGACATTCGCGAAATTTGCAGTTCGATATTTATGCTGTACGTGCAAATCTCTATTTAAATATAATATATATATATATTATAATATAATGGTGATGTCGTAAAGCGATATATTAATATACAAGTCCGACGGCCGAACGTTTGGCAGTCGGGTAGGTAGGTATATACCGTATACCGCACCTCAATCTTGTCGACAACCGGAAAAGGTCCGTCCGGTCAAACAGGACCTACACCGGAGACAATAATATAACAAACGCGTATATGCATACGATATACCCACAGCAAGAATCGGTTATTGATCTTGCATATAATATGAACGCGTACAGCGGGAAGCGATTGTACGGCTTGTCGAAAAGAGATTAATGACGTTTAGTGCGGTACATTATTCGAACGTTTTCGTGCGTACAAGCATTTTATTGTTGCCTATACATGTTATGTTATTATCAGCTATATCGTATATTATAGTTCAATATTATATTGTTCAGTACGATATGGAATTAGAGAAAAAGTTTTTTTAAAAAATTTAAAAACGTACACATTATAACGCATATGTTATCTGGACGGGCTGTGTAGTAGTGTAGACGTACCCATAACAATAGATAATAATATTATGGTACCTACATATTAAGTATAATATATATTTATTTTAAGTTGTACAGTTATCTAACTTTTTAACACGTCCGAGTTATTTTGACGATACCGTGTTAACCACTTGTGTTTATTCGTTTTAACGTATTTTGAAGAGTCCCATAAAACCCGGAAGAATACCTACTTTGGTATTCCTACAACTCGCTACTGTGTTTCCGTTTTGTTTTATTTGTTGTTTAGATTTAGATATTATATTAGCCACTGTGCATCTGTATTGTTTGCGTTTATATTTAGTATCGTTGTGTAAATTGACGCGTGTCATTAAAAAATCGAAATTTGTGTAAGGCAAGGTTGACAGTATTATATTATGTGTATCTATACGGTTATATGTACATATATTACAATAGACTAGTCACTATAGTTTAAATTTAATATATGAAAACGTCTGAAAACGCAATCAACTGTTTTTTTATAGAGCAGTGTCCTTATATAGATTGTATTCTTGTTCCGCAAACTTACAAGTTATAACCATATAACGTTCAAAGTAAAACAAGGTTTTATACATGAATTTTCTAAACATTTCAAAATAATGGTTAAGTCCACGTATATATATTTTTTGGTCAATCAGCCATTGTATTTGAAATATAAATTGTTTACTGTTGTAATTTAAAGTATCAATAAGTCTTCAGGTGTAAAATAAATTGTGATTTCTGTGCGTCATTCTAATACCGTAATGGTGTTTTCGATCGCAATTCCGTTTTGTAAGTCATAAAATTGTATATCGTTTCCGATCTCGACAGAGTATTATACGTTTCATAATACAATACATTCTTCCGGCACTAATCCGAAGTAATTCAATAATAACACACCGAAATGCTTTAGGATCGCGTAAGAACGTGAATCGTTGTGGGTGGACAAAACAAGGACCGGACAATAATAATAATAATAATAATAGTGTTTACTACTCATATTTTCTGCTCACGTTCAAAATATTTTGTGCCATTATTCGTTTTGTATACGAGTTTATACATAACATTAAGCATTCTAGTCTCTAGATGTAGACATGTAGTCTTATACCTGTTACTGTAATACAGGGTCAAGTTTTTTTATCACGGCAATATGACATCATTCGAAAAAAAGGTAAAAACGATTGAATTAAAAATAAAATGTGATACGTATGTCGTATGTGGTACTTACTACCATAGGCCATAGTGCATACAAATATTATAGTATATCTATAAAAACCGTCAGCTAATTTTCTAGTTTTTATGATCGGCATTGACACTGATCGAATAAAACAATAATTACAATTTATTTTTCCGTGATCCGAGAACATGTTTTCCAACGATCCAGTCGTATACGGTCTCGATATAATATTGTCAACTACGAATAATAAACATTAATGAAAACACGTTATTTATCTTAATATCTATATCTAATATACCTATTATATAAATGGAAAATACGACCTATTAGTAAAAAATTGTATGACATCGTGATGTAAGTGCATTTAGTTTTGAAGAACTATAGATGATCACCGTCATTATGATGAGTAATCTTTACTTTCGATACAAAAATTATAACTAAAATAATTTATTTAACATATTAAACTGTCTGATGTACACTTAGAGAATAATATATCAAACAGTGGCGTTTTCTCTGGGTGTGCAAGTTGTGTGTTAACGCCCTAAACATTGATGTCATACATGTGTGTAATATTGTAATTTGTAATTCATATTAGTATATTACATGGTTATATAATTTTATTTACAAAATCTTAAAATAATTGTCATGTAAAAATAATAATATCAAATAATAAACTATTGTCTATTTTAAGCTCTAAACTCGACCATGCGCCCGCGCCGTCTCAGTGCCCGTCTGCAGCTACGACGCCGCGTCGGCCGTCGGCGTCCAATAAGATTACGCCGATTACGGAATAATATTGTATTATGTTGTGTTTGTGTAGGGTGTTTGTGTAGCCGTGTAGGACGTTAATGTTTCGAACAACGACTTGTGGTATCTAATATCTCATATTCGTAATTTGTCGTGATATTTTCGGATAACTTCGGTGCCATGTTAATACTAGAGTACTAGACCAAGTCGTTGAAAATGAAATTAACGACTATAGACGGCGTTATAGACGTCTCTATTTTGAAATAATCGACAATATACAAACTCAAATTAATATCCGTCTTAAATCGTTTGAAAAATTGAAATATTTTAATTTACTTAATCCTTCAAAAATTAAATGTTTTGCAAAAAAAGATAATTTTCCATCTAGTTTACTTAAAAATTTACAAGACATTTATGGCGATTTTTTCAACTATGGTAAACTACAAAATGAACTTCATGTATGGTACACCTTAAACGAATCATCTGATAAAAGCCCTATTGAAATTATGAATTATCTTTCTGAAATGAGCTTAATTAGTGGATTTTCCGAGGTGTATAAATTGGCACAATTAATATCTACTATACCAACAACCACCGCTTCAGTGGAGAGATCATTTTCATCTTTAAAAAGAATCCACGCATATTGTCGTTCAACTCAAACTCAAGAAAGGATGAACAACTTAAGCATAATATCGATAGAAAAAGAATTGGTTTTCAAATTAAGAGCAAATAGAAGTAAATTTTATGAAGATGTTATAAACAAATTTATTGAGAAAGAGAGAAGAATAGAATTTGAATTCAAATAAAAATCAGTCTATAATATATTCATTATTATATTCATTTGTACATTTTCAGTTTTATATTATATTTAATTTTATAGTTATTGAATGTATTTTTAAAAATTTAAAAGTATTTAAAATAAATAATTTTAATAATATGTTGATTATTAATAGTTGATACGAATTTATTTCCCATAGGGGGTATTTCCTAATTGTTTTCCTCACACATTAACGCCTAACGCCGAAAGTCAGGAAACGCCACTGATATCAAACATATTTAAATTTATACTTGAATAATTCCGCTTAATGCGCGTAAAAGACACAAATTAAAATAATTTGACGTTTCTGTATTGGTTTTTGTCAATAGTGTTTTGTGACAGTTATTAATCCGTTTATTACTTTTCACTTAAACCTAGGTACCAGAACAAAATAAATTAGTACCTAATTATAATAATATAGGAATTATTACTGGTTCAGGCACATACAAATACGTAATCCAAAGCAATTTTGATTGATAAAAAAATTATTTTTTAAAAACACACTTCTCTAAAAAAACAAAAAAATAATGAAAAATTTAAAAGTGTGTGGTATAATATGTCAAGTTTAAGAGCGCCACACACTTTTAAATTTTTCATTATTTTTTTGTTTTTTTAGAGAAGTGTGTTTTTAAAAAATAATTTTTTAATTTTTTATTTTCTACTTTTTTTTTTCTACTTTTTTTTTTTTTTTAAATTTTTTTACGGATTATTGTATTGTCATCCAAGACCAAGGTCTATACAAATTTTCAGAATTTTTCATCTTCAAAAAGTGCCTCAAATCGAGCGCGCAAGATTTGATCACAGACAGACGTGTAACCAAACATAAGAAAAGTGTTAAAAATATATTTTATACATTTTGTTGTTTTCAAATAATAAGCAACACACTATAATACAATAATATTGCTAACATTTTATGCAATGTAAGGTGCGGTTTAAGCGAATTTCCGGAACTATTCTTATTTTTTTTTTTTTCTTTTTCTTATTTTTTTTTCATCCGGACCTATTATATCATCTACCCATTTTTTATGATAGTTTAGGAACGTGTGCACAGAATGTAGGTATGTCAGGACTCAGGACTGCCACAATTGCGTACGATCGACATACCAAGTGTGCAATAAATAAAAAGAAACAGTAGTATCCAAATTACAATTTTTACTATAACATTATATGTGTTAGGAATTGCGGTTGTATCCATTACCCACTGTTCCATTATATTTGTATGTATGTAGTAATGTAGTATCTATATGTAGGTACTGTAGTTAGGTACAGTGTGTGGCAGCCGACAGTGCACCAAGTGTTTATAAAATTTATAAATAAAAATAGAAGATAACGATGAATGTGAAATCAATAATTTACTATTTTACTGACATCAAAATATTTAATAGTTACACTAATAATATTCTAATACAACTAAACATTCCAATTTTTTTCATTTTGTAATAATATTTTATACATTTTTATTACAATTTCCAAACTTGTAATTGACAACAATGTATAGGCACAGAATAGAATAATATATGGTATAGGTTCAGGCACAGTTCATGGAGGATATATCCCCCTGTTATCTCCTGTTATTATTCCTTTGTATAAGAAGACATAATTACCTCACACATTAAATAACTTTTGAATTAAATTTTTTTAGATACTTGCACTACAAGTATAATACCTTTATAATCGTTGATTTTTTTATACTGAATATAAAAATAAATGTACACTACATTTATTCGACTTATTAAATACGAATAATTTAGTGTAAATATTGAACTATGTTTCGTTTAATTCTCGTGCATTTAAATGGTGTAATAAGTAATAACTGTTTATTATTCAAGTAACTAAACTAGGATACAAATATATTTCGTTTATTACTAGCACGGTATATTATATAATATACCGTGATTACTAGTATAGACTACAAATATACTTAGTGTATAACTTCCTAACATAAGTGTGAACTCTTTGATGGGGTGACCTTCAAAGACAATTTAGGAATTAATTTTTATTTAATTTAAAAATCTAGTTTAAAGCTTTCATATTGGTGACTGTTTTATATAATTATATTATGATTACATTCAATTCCCTTTTTTCTCGAAGATATAAAATATCGATGTTCATGAATACTTTTGAATCTATAATGATATTACTCGAATTGTAATGTTTAATACATGAGTAAAAATAATATATCATTTTTATATGGGTGTCCCATAATAATTATTATTGTTGTTTGAAGTTATATAATAGTACATTCATGATTTATTGAATTGTTTTTACTTTATCGATTTATTCATTAAATATAGTTTAAAAATAGAGTTAATTAATATTTAATAGATAAAAATTGATATGAATGATAAGATACTATTTTTTTTTTTAACTAAATTATTGTCTTATAGTAGGTTGGACCAAAGAGAAAGAGACGGAGTAGGTTTTACAATTCTATAAGCAAAATATGTTGCCTAACTTTCAAAAAAAAAAAAAACAACTTAATGAAAAAAATTGCATAGTGATAATAGGAAGATACAAAAGTATGAATGCATGATTAAATAAAGGGAAAAAATATAAATGAATTTAATGGTTATAAAATAAAATAATTAACTCATAGTTATTCATGTGTAACAACAAAAACGGGTATATTACAAAATGTCAAAATAAAATACTTGAAGAAATGTTCAAATGCTGAAACGTTCTTCGCTACCTACATAATATTAATAATGAATTAATGAATTAATGGATATTGAGTATTGTTTACCAAACTGTCACAGCAATACAGTATATTAATAACAATAAACTATGTGTAATATATTATAATAGTGTTTATAAACATAAATTCGACACGTGCGTACATTATAATTAAATTTAATAATTAATAATAGTAATATGTTAATTTTAATTGACATCTCGTCACAAAAAAACTGCGTTGGCAGACGAAATCAAAAGAATAAAAAAAATTCCATGCAAAGACGATTCGGCTAGAGTATCACGAACGGGTTATTTTTTTTGTTTTCAAATCACACATGGCGTGCATTATTTTATGTACCTATATCTACTTATACAGTGAGTTATATACGTATATTATATACACTGCATACGATGGTGTGAGTGCGGACAGACTACGAGGCCGTTACATATTTTATTATTATTGTATCTTTTTATAATAAGGTCGGTGTATAGTATGATACGTATATGCATATATTATATATTATAATATAATAATAATATGACAAGTGGAAATGTGGAATAATAATTAACGAATAATGAATGTACAGGTATATTAAATACATTTATATATACATTAAATTCGTTTTGTAAACAAGTTAACTACCTTATACAGTTCGTTCACCCGTTTTTTGATTTTGTTTTTTTTGTTTTTTTTTTATACATATAGCACTAGATATAAAAATAAATCCACCTCGCCCACCTGTTGTGCTCTACAGTTATCCGTCAGCGGTCGATCAACACCGTCGGAGAAAAAACCCTTTCTCAAGCTATGTCTTTTGTACCAACGAACACCCATATAAATAATAATTGTGTAAACGAATTAAGAGTTTATCTTAATACATTATAATTTATATTAAATTCATTACATTCGTGATATGCCAAATGCGAAAAGCACACACGCGAGTACCTACCTGCTTAAACACAACAAAGATGACGTAGTATTATAATATCTCCGAGACTGGAATGGGAAATACATAAAAAAAAAAATCTGACAATTAAATCTCGCGATCATACGCGATATGTGTATAATATTATGTATAATACAAAGTCAAAGTATAACCCGGCAGTGATTTGCCTATAATTATTATGTGCACTATATCATTATAATAATATAATATGTATTTTATACTAGCATACTACCTTCTTATATATAGGTACTAATTTTATAATAGGTATACGCTGGTTTACATAAATCTCTGAATATACCTATATATATAGTCTGTTGTTCGTGGCCATTTTAAAACATTTGCGTTTCGTCGTCGAATGAAAACGCTTTATAGAAATTTTTATTTACTTTCGTATTATTTCTATATGAACTACAATAGTATACCTATATAATATAATATATAAAACTCCCTCTTTATATTGTAATCACCTATTTAATGTTTAATTTTATTCATTAATTTCATTCAAAATTAAAACAATTGTTTTAAAGTATATACATAGTATATACACACAAACAAGTGTGCACGCGCCTATAGGTAAGTACATAATATTATATATTGTTTTATACAAAAACAATATACACACATTACCCAAAACTCGGTAAATAATAATAATAGCTTATGATAATATAAAATATTTGTAAGTATTCAATTTTTAAATAAATAACACAAATTAATTATTCATAGATTGTCATTCCCTAAATTATGTATAATTGAAACAAAATCTTTTATTTTAAAAATTTTTTTTTATTTAGTTGTTTTTTTCCAAAGGTACTTGATCAGAATCTTTAATAACAGTGGTTAATAGCTAATTTTCAAAAATATTTTATTTAAGTGCTTATTTTATTTTTTAATTAAATTGTATTTTATTTTTTTATTTTTTCTTAATATTTCAATTAATTTGTATAGATCTGTCTTAGTAGAAAATGAATTATTTTCTTTGTCGAAACGATTTATGGTTCCAGAGTTGCATATATTTGGTGAGATATAGGTAATACTAAAAAAATATTCTTATATTTTGATGTGTTTCTCAAATTAATAAAATAAAAATAGTAGGTAACCTCTCTATGTACGGCGTTTTGGCTACTCAAAGTAACTTTGTTAATTTTTCTACCAGAAAATGTATGGAAGATGAAAATCAAAGTATTGTTACTACACTATTAATTGTCACCGTTCATAACAAAAAAACCACTCATAATTCTAAAAACAAGTGCTCCACTCAGAATCTAAAAATTGTTGATACATGAAACGAACTTATTAGTACTTATTAATTTTAAGTATGAAAATATATTGGGAAAATTTAAAATTACTGTAGGTACTTAAAACTTAAAAA